CTCTCTCTCTCTCTCTCTCTCTCTCTCTCTCTCTCTCTGTGTGTGTGTGTGTGTGTGTGTGTGCGTGTCTCGCTCTGTGCATTTTCCCATATGTCCGGTGAAACTATGAAGGATGGCTGAGCGCCAATTTTTGAGTTTTTTTTTTTTTTTTCACTTTTTTCATATCTGGTGATTTATTGGCTCCCATTTAACTGGAAAAAGTACAAGCATTGTTGAACTGACAAAGTACAAGCCTTGTTAGTTAAACAACCAATCAGTGTAACGTCAATAGATCGTGTCCGTGAAGGACGGGACTGACTGAAGAAATCCACCCTCAAAGGCATTGACAATTTGACACCCCCATAGCTGGGCCTGTTGGCGGGGACCTCCCCAGAGTTGGGGTGGTTGCAGTTGGTCTGGTGTAAATAAATCCAAGAAGTGAAAAAACATGAAACTCGGGGCCGATGTTTTTTTTTTTTTTTAATTTATTTATTTTAATTGGGATGATTTATCTGAAGTCCGTCGCTCTTTTACAAGATTGAAAAAAAAAAACTCCCCTCATTCCGTTTCTTTTTTCGCCCCTTCCGTTTTACTAATAACCATTCGTGCTCCTTTCGTTTTTTTCCCCTTCTTCTTTTCCATTGTACTGGGCCCTTTCTGCAGGTCTTTAGCAGCAGTTCCGCAAAGGTTATTCCTCTTGACAGCCCAGTCGTGTTATTAAACCCCGCGGCAGGGTATCAGCCCGGTGACGTGGTCGCTATTCGAGTTCCATTACTCCAGCTTGATAATTTCAACGATGAAGGGTGGGCTTCCCCCAACAGACAATATGCAATGATGGTACTGATGCTGCCGTACGACACGCCAAGGAGATGGCTGCCAAACGAGCTGGAGCTCGTCGAGGCCGTTGCGGATCAGGTAGGTCTCGATCCCGACCCCATCAACCAGCAACCTGTTTCTGAACATGCTTCTGAACCTGCCCCCGAACCTGCAGCAGATGCACTTGTCGTCGCCTATGAACCTGCAGCAGATGCACTTGTCGCCTATGCCGACAGACAAACTCACAAAGTGTGTAATAACTGATCAGTAAGCAAACACAACAGAATTCACGTCATTAAAAAAGAAAAAAGAAAAAAGAAAAAAGAAAAAAAGAATTCACGTCATTCGATGGGAGAGAAGGGGGAACGAAGAAAAGCGAAACAGAAAGAAATGGCCAAGATGGGAAAAAAGAAGGAAAAGAGCCCTTCGGGACGTCCGTTAAAATTGGAACGATACGGAGAAGATTAGCACGGACCCTCCGCAAGGATGACATGCATATATCGAGAAATGGTACAATTTTAATTTAAAATAAAGTAAGAAAAGGGAAAGAAAGAAGACAAGAAAAGAAAAAGAAAAGGGAGAGAAACACTGTTCAGGGGAGATCCCTTTTAGGCTTTTCCCCATGTACGTGCTTCGGCGAGGTACCAATTGGACGGCGTTAGTGATCTTGATTCTTGACCGTCGATCCTCGTTATCTACTACGGGTCTATGATCACAGAGATGTCTACCTCACGATTTGGACCTCATAGAGATGATGGAGGACAGTGCAGGTGAGGTAGGTATGCTCCCTCTGTGCCAAGTTGTCAATCAACAAGCTCGTCCTTGCAAGCCTGCGAATGTAATCAGTGAGAAACACAGAGGGCTAAGCATGTCGACTAAAAGCCGACACAGTGGGCGGCTGTGGGCCTGGCTGCCCTGCTCTCGGCCTTTTGGCTAAGATCAAGTGTAGTATCTGTTCTGATCTGTTTAATATCTGATCCGTGATCCATCGGGCCACATTAAAAAAAAAAAAAAGGCATGTGTAGTATGTAACCTTTCAAGTTTTGCTGGGATGATACACTCGCCCCTCTTCTCACATTTGCCGGGCAAGTACAGCGTGGCCCAGGTTGTAATCCTGCTGTCAGCGAGGCACTCGACAGGAGACGCCTTTCACTGGAAGAAGGGAAAAGGGATAAAACCATGTTAAAAATAATTTGAACAAAAAAAAGGGTTCATCTTGGATTCTCTCCTCTCGCATCAGCTTCTGTAATTTAGTTGCCTGTGACTGACTGAGGACGCAGTCACGCTAGGTAGCGCTTATTAGAAATCACCTCTGGATGTAATCACGATTCGCGGCAGATACATCCACGACGGGCTGCAACTACGGTCAGATACGTGAGAAAAGAATGATCCTAATCAGGACCTAATGTGAGTGACTTTACCTTCTCTTTCTGGGGACTTCGCCGCGTTTCGTAGCTTCGACCATACTGCGGCCCTCTGCGGGTATTGAGCCGAACAGTCGGACCAGATGCGTGATTTGAATAATTCGCATAGTAATAGTAATAGTAATTGAACTGTAATTCTAATTTAATTCTAGGCGTAACTAGGGCACAGTCACGATTTCAGTTTAAAATCTACTTCAGGCATCCCTCAAATACAACACCTCCCCACTGGACCCTAAAGCTAGGTTGTATACATTCACGATTTTCCTTGCTTTGGCACAACATTCGCGAAAATTAATCCTGACTGAAGCGCATTTTCAAACTGAAACCACCGTCACTGCACCGTAGTTTCCCCTTAATTAATTCTAATAATAAATTAATAATACAGTAATATAGTACAGAGCTAGGCTACCAAAGTGGCCCGGGTCCACTTGCCCGGCCAGGCCAAAAAAGAAGAAAAAAATCAAAATTATTTTTTAATTTAAATTTTTATTTTAAATTTGGTAAAGAATTTGGATGCGACCCTGAGGCAAAAGTTGTTCACTTTACTTTGCTGCATAACATAGTTTTTTTTTGTTTTTTTTTGGCTGGGACCTTCCCTGGGGCGGCCCGGGACCTTCCCTGGTCCTTGCACGGCCGGGCCGCCCGGGAAAATAGGGTGATCCGGGCGGCCCGGCTGGTAGCCTAGGTACAGAGTAGTAGTGACCATACAGAAGCTGAACTAAGCACATGTAGCTTCGGATGAACCGACCATACTACGGGCAGTGGACCGAACAGATGCATGATTTGAATAATTCGCATAGTAACAGTAATGGTAATTCTAATTTAATTCGAATAACGATAACATTATACAAAGTAGAAAAATAAATTAAATAAATAAATAAATACAGAGTAGTAGTAACCATACAAAGCAGAGCTATGTAAACACATGACAATCTGATGCAAAAAAGAAAAGAGAGAAAAAAAAACACACAATCAGATGCATGTAGCGTTTCCAGGAGAAATAGATCAAACAGCAAACCTTCGTCTTCCCCCGAAATCGAATGGTGATTATAGCTGTACTTGGACCAACTTTGAGTCTACATACAGCCTCCAGAGGACGGTAGCGCACGGGATGACGCTCCGGTCAGGACCTGCCATACACGTAAATTCGCACGTGATAGTAGCTCCACGTACATCGGAGGCAAGGTAGCAGCAGGACCCAAGTCCATGTGCCTGAATGGCAAGCACGTGAAACTGTTCAGCAAACAGAGCATGGGTCCGAATTCTGTTTTTTCAATCAGATAATTCAGATTAGCACAATAAATTTAGGGGGTATCCCCGTTGAAAAGAAATGGTTAGCAGCGGTATAAATTCAAATGGGAGCCAGCCAATTGATTGTCAGCCGTCCAGATGACAGATCCGCACGGTTAACGGATCAATTGATCCACATCAGATTCTGAGGATATCCTTGCCATTACCATCCTTCCTGAAAAGAAGGCAACATCAGTGTTATAGCTGCGGACGGTCATTTGGGGCAGCTTTCAGTCCAGATACAGCAATAATGACCAGGGAAGACGGTGCTGAGGCAGCATTCGGGCAGTTGTGCCATCATCTGTTGAAGTCAGTTCTAGAGTCTTCTAGAATTATCTGCCGTAGGCTATGTGACGACCTGATGAGAAGATATTAAATGGTGGACGGCCACAGTCAGGTCGATAAACAGAGCAATTAGTATTGTGTTTGTTTCTCTTTTTCGTTTTGAGAAAAAAACACACCTAGGAAGGCACTGGTGGCCCACTTTAAAATGGGACACCGGCTATATCCAGTCCCAGTCCCAACTTGCATCTATACCCGGAAAGAGACTGGTGGAAATGATTTGCATGCCTAGAACTGAGGTGGATGCAGGTTGGTACCAACAAAATAATTGCGGTTATAACCATCTACCAGTGCAGAAATTATGGACGCTGGACCCGGGGCTAGGTCCCACTTGCACGAATTAAGAGATACTGACCCTAGATAGCAAAGATCAACGGCCGAAATCTCCTAATTTGCACAAGTGGGACCTTGCCCCTGGTTTCCGGCAGGTGCAGCTCCCCACCAATAGACTACTAGAGCCATCGATACGGGAACTACTACAGGGGAACCCCAGCAGTAGAACCAACCCGCCTGCAGTGGGCGATGCTTTCAAAAGAGGGGGAGGGGAGGGGGAGGAGAGGGGGAGGGGGGGTGGAGGAGAGGGGGAGGGGGGGTGGAGGAGAGGGGGAGGGGGGGGGGAAGGGGAATCCAGTCACTCCACTGCCATCAATTCTTGGGGCTATTAGAGGCGGGAAAATAGAAAAATGGCACACATGGTTATCAACTGAGCCGCAATTACGGTCCGATGCATTGAGGAAAAACTTAGCCAAAGAGATATTATTGCTTCGGGGAAAGTACTTGTAGGGCGCGGCACGCACTCTGCCATGAATGGGCTGAGGATCCTTGTTGGGCGGCGGGGCCACTGTGAATGGGAAAACAACAAGTGCAAGCATTTTTTTTTTTTGGGGGGGGGTAAGAAACGCCGGGGTTGTCAACGTGGTCACACTGGCTGTGAAATTTTCATATGGGATGGCATGGACCCATGGATAGTAGAAACCGGAATGAAACCCTGTCCTTGGGGACATCCGTTAAAATTGGACCGATACAAAGAAGATTAGCATGGCCCCTGCGCAAGGATGATGACAGGCATAATTCGAATGAAACCTCCTCCAATGGGTCACAGCCCCCAACGGCCACAGATAAATGCGATCAAAGGTCAACGATAAGTTCGTTGAGTGGGGGGACCTTCCCCGCCCCCCCCCCCCCCCCCGCCCGCCCCCCCGCCCGCCCCCCCCCCTCCCTCCGTAAGAGGATTAATTAAAGCGCGGAGAACTGCCAGAGACCCTCGAGATAGTCGTACGGATTGGAACGATGGAAACCATGAGCAACTCCCGTGGCACGTATGCAAGGAATGAGACAAGCAATTGATGCAAATTCATGCAATGTTCTTTGTTTTTCGTTTCTCCCTTTCTTCTCCTCATCTTGCTTTTCCGTCCGAGTTGAACCAGTTCCTTCCTGTTCATGATTCGTGCGTTTCATCATTCTGCAAGCTCCCATCTTTAGAACCTAAAATTGACCCAGGCTGGGCGCCGTTCCGAGCGGGGGCAGCTCCCCACGGTCCCCACCTATAGAACGGAGCAATCACAACATTTTTTTTTTTTTTTTTAACAACAAAAATTGACCGAAGCCCTGCTCATGTTCCTTTCTCTCTCTCTCTCTCTCTCTCTCTCTCTCTCTCTCTCTTTTTTTTTTTTTTTTTTTTGAGTTCGTTGTGAAACACGCCGATGTAGATTTGTCTGCGTGCATTTTACAGTTCCATTGTATCCAGCTGATAATTATGATTCCAACAGGATTGGAGCCCATGGTCTGGTTATTAACAGTTGATGTGCGTAGCAATACTTTTCACATGGACATTTTTGACTACTCTCCAAATGTGCAAAATGAGACTTAATCCACCGCTAGAACATGGAAAGACACATTCCCACCTTTTTAAAATTGTCTTTTGTGCATGCGGAGAGTAGTGCAGCGAGGCCCTTTGGAGTGCTGGTCGATGGAACTGTCGGCTGTTACCCTTCAAAACAGTGCAGAAGCGAGGACCCAAAAAAAATCGATGGGAAGTCCTGT